AAATATTTGAAAATAAATAAATTCTGTTTATAACAATGATTAAGATGGTAACTGACTTCCATCCTTTAGACTGGAAGACATTCCTTAGACAAAAAAGGAGACTTCGAAGTATATACTTTGTATATATTTTGACATATACATTTGAAATATATACTTCAAAGAATGTTTCTATTGTTTTCAGTTCTTTACAGTTTAAGTGAACTCAAAGACAATGTTTCTTCTCCATTTAGGAGAATAAGCGATGTGCAATTGACTTTTGCTGTGTGGTCATTTTATGATGTGGAACTGAGACAAATGGCATCTGGTTAAATGCCATTCTGATAGATATTTAGCTGTGTAATTTTATTGCATTTGGAATACATACTCTATCAATATGTTTATTTCTTTCCAGTTGACCACAAAAGGGAATCATGCTGATTAGCATGATGAGGCATTTAATGGGGTCTCAAAATAATTTTAAATGAATGTCATTTTAAATGTGTTTCATATTAATTTTAAATTTTGAAGGAGAGAAATCAGTAGTGATACTATCTGTACAAGAAGTAAAATTGTTCTCCAGCAATAGAAAATTGTATAAAACACAGTTTTTGATTTCTTGAACTTCTGAGACTGACTGTAACTCAAAAGATAAGTGTGCAGGGGAGTTATCTGAGGCTTGGAAGTCAAACAGAGAGCCAAATAGTCTGTATAGATGAAAAAAATCACAAAGAAACATCTGAAGAGAAGATAATTTCTCTTCTGTATTAATTCCTAGTCTCTTGGTTTTATTCCATTCCTCCTCTTTCTAGCTATGTCTATTTTCTTTGACATATCATTCCATTAGGAGGCTTTGTGTTTCAGTGTTGTGTTGCTAATTTTGTCTCCTGCTTTCTGCACATATCTGTGATAGCCATTGTGCTCCATTAGTAACAGTTGCTGCTACTTATGAGGCATTGACTTGTTTATGGCTCCTGTTTGCTAACTACATTAAGACCTGTAATTTGATTTTAGCTAGGAAATGTATGTTGAAACATTATCACAGAAAAAAGGTCACTGCTTTCTACATCATCATTGTCCCTACTGATTTAAAAAATGCATGTAAAACAAGTAAGTAGCAGATGGTTTAATAAGAGCAATAATATTAAGTTCCATTAAACTATGTCACAATATCTGTGTACTCATTTATTATTCTGCATTAAAGAAACACGGATTTTGGAAACCAAAATCATCCATCCATCCATCCATCCATCCATCCATCCATCCATCCAGTTTTTCATATGAGAATATGCAAATTTGATTTACTTGTTTCTTCAGTATCATCCTCCAGGAATACACACATAATTGCATTACTAATAGAGATGTAGTGCTCTGCCTCCCTATGTTAAAAAGCTTAAAAGGCTAGGGCTTGCAACTGGAAAAGATGCAGGTCCTCATGCCCCAAGTCTTACAAGAACATTTTACTAAATAAGCATTAAGAATTATATTTTTAAGTGTGGATGGACAGTTTATTTTCCAGATCATAGAATCATAGAATCGTTTAGGTTGAAAAAGACCTTTAAGATCATCCAGGCCAACCATTAACCTACACTACCAAGTCCACACTAAAC